TGCCAATAATTGATTAAATCTATGACTGAATGCAACTCTCATTCCTATGGCAACCCAAGTCTCAGAGCAGAGCGAGTATCGATTTAATGCTCCGGTAGTCATAGCAATGGCTCACCTCTTCTACAGAGTGAGAGCACAGTTAGCTTTGAGTCGCCGATCGCTTTCTGCTGTACTTTCTCTGAACTTCTCTTTTTCCGATTCTTTCTATCGATTTATTTCACCTAAAAATGAATACACTTTTCAACTTAAATATGTTTAACATAACCATTGATACCATTGCACACACTTTCATTCCTATGTACAGCCTATGGGTCCATACCCTCCACAACCTAATGATCCAATCAAAGAGCAATTAGCAAAAGACAATTCAGTTGTAGTGAACACTGAGGGGCGGCTTATATTAGAGTTCACTCACGATGACTTAATGCGGATCAAGTCGTGGCACTTCGCCACAAGACATCACCAGGAGTTGATTCCTAGGGGGATAGTTGCAATTCAGGCACAACACGACCCCACCATTTTGGAACAGATGTCCAAAAACATTACCCGTCAGGGACTGACCAACTCTACACTTAACTACTTAAGGGTATGCCAACTGACCATCAGATTAGCCCAACAGTTGACTCATTGTGTTGAATGTGTTGAACAGCTATGCGTTATATTAGAGCCAATGCAGGAACTCATGTCCAGACATAAGGCCTATTCATTGAGTCCAAGAGATTGTCTGAAGACAACGCTGTTTCAGAAATGGCAGCGAATGGTCGCACCGCCAGAAACGTCGCGACCGCCCAGTAAGCGAAGGAAACGGAAGTCGTCTGCGAATACGGGAACGACAGGCGGCGCCGGCAAGAAGAAGAACAACGCGGCGAACATGAGTCCGGGTCCGCCCAACTTCACACTTGCCTCTCAGGTACCACTTCTGGCACTATTTGGTTATGAATTTGAGATAAAAATTTTGACGATTATGTCTTAGGATGTGATGGTAGTCGGAGAGCCGTCTCTAATGGGCGGCGAGTTTGGAGATGAAGACGAACGGCTTATCACAAGACTTGGTATGTTTAGCACAGGTTGTTGTGGTTGTAACCACTTTCTCGACTGCATTGCATCCCATGTTTGCAAATGTCTTATTGTGGTAGTAATGAACTGCTGTCCCAATCAATAGAGAATAATCAGTACGATCCGAGCGCTTCTAACGCCGCCAATGGGCTCGAAGACGGCGATGAGTTCGGGTCGATGGGTGCGCCGGGAGGGGGGCCTCCTGGCAACGGACCGCCGCCCGGATGGCCGGGTGGACCGAACCCGCCACCCGGTGGCCCCAATTCAGGTCCGCCATTATCTGAGCGATCGGTTGGGGGCGGCGGCGGTAACAACGGTCACACACCTCATGGTCCCGGTTCTCAAGACGATAGCAAAAAGCAATCGCCGAATATAAGTCAATAATGATCTGATGGACACCAATGAATATACGGTCATTCAGTCATTGTTTAGCCACATTCCATACAACTGTCTGCATCCTGTCCCCATACAGCCTGTCCCCTCTCAGTACTCCCAATATAAGGCCAGATATGACTGTTTCGAATTGATTGGCGAACAGTGCCTCTCCTTTCACTCATTTAGTGCTGTATTAGTATTATAGGCATATATTGGCCACAGATTGTGATATGATATGTGAGTGACTCTCTGATTGTCAGATTAAGTGATGCCATTTAGACGACTAGCACTCAAATTAGTGCTCATTTATGTATTAGTAATTATTAGCCTTTTGTTAGCAATGCTAAGAATTGGCGACAATTACACCGATTAATATCGTATAAAAGGCTCACCTTAACAGTTCATACCGTATACTGTATTTTGTTTGGTATTCACTAGACTTGTGGCTAAATAACTATTGAAAGACTCAATATATTTATGAATATTATTTTAATGCAATTCTTTGTAAGCATTTAAGAGGTGAAGGAATACCACTCATCCATATTCTGGACATAAAACAAATTTTTTATGCTATTTATGACAAACAGATTATACATATTTCATGTTAATCTATATTTGTTTAATTGATTGACATTTTGATTCCAATGTAAAACACTTTTCATCAGACATTGGCCATCATTTCGATTATTTATTATTATTATTATTATTATGTGTTTTTTAATCAATTAGTTTTGCAAATTTAATATATCTCTCAATCGATGACAAAATGATCGCTCCTTTCATTGCATTTATTGATTACAAAACAATATAAATTAAATTAAATTAAATTATTATGATTTTCAATAAATAAATGTTTCTTTAAATATAGTCTAATTTCGTTTATAAACCATTTTTTACAGATTTATTCGAGATTTGAGCTCATTTTCCATATGTCCTCAAAGTTTATGAATCCTAAAAACATTTAAATTTTGTTTTTAAAATGTTTTTTGAATTCCTCTTAAAATGATTTTATCAGAAGAACTCATTATTTGTTTGGATTTCAAAAATAAATCATTTGTTGGACACAATAATTGTCAAAAATATCATTATCATTTTATGAATTTTAAAATGCATATCAAAGTATTGCTGTTTATATTATCATTTCATGCGTCAAAAATGTGTCCCTTTTATGTCATAATTATTTACATTTAAAAGCATTATTATTCGTATTATTTGCCATAATTTCTCCACAAAACACAAAATTTCTTTTTTGGCCAATAGTTCGCTGTATTTGCTATTAATTTCTGTTACGAAACGGCTATTGAATGAATTAACTTACACTTAATGTATAAGTTTTTATAGCATAGGTTGGAAAGTAAGTTTAGTTAACGTAAAGACAAATACATCGTTAAGCAGTTTGTAGTTTGCGTTCACTTTTCAATTTCCTCTGTTTGTGTGAAGTTGTACTCAATTTTCAAGTTTTCATATCCATAGAGGCATAACATTATATACATCTAATACCTCTATAATACGGTGTCTATTAATTCATAAGCTTTTTGGAAAACTTGTGTCAAAGTTTCGGTTCACTTAATTGATTGACCGACCAGTCGTTTACTATGAAGTTGTATGCATTTGCACTCATATTATTGAGTTTTGGTGAGTTTTGTCCACTATTTTTATGATTATTTTTAGATCTCTTAAGCAAATTGAGTTCAAATTGCAGATCTTTCTATCTATGATATTAACATATAATTAATGGTATTTAAAAGTTTCGTTTACGATTAGTCTAAATGTGTGGCCTTCGACTCGTTTTATTACATCTTTCATTAGTTTAATGACACAAATTCCTCAATACTTCAGTTTTCTTCTCATGAAACTAAACATTGAGTGCTTTAACGGTATAACTGATTCCCAATCTTATTGTGAAACTTAGTTCACATAACTTTCAATAACTTTTCTCTAAACAAACATTACTTGAAAACTATTATTTGTTTACTTTGATGATCTTTACCTAACACTTTAAGACCTATTTCTACTATATAATTTTATCTAACCTGGGCCCTAGCATTTTGTTAAAATATTAATTAAATATTTTGTATTTTTCTCATGACTATTGAGGAATATTGAAATGATTTTATTTTTAAAAACATTTTTAAATAATTATAGTTTTTGTAATTTCATAATTTTTATATTTGCTGAGTATTGATACCAATTATGTGGAAGAAAATGTTGAAAAGTTTAATAATTATATAATGACCTCAAGTGTAACCGATATAACAGATTGAGCTCTAAATAGAAATTTCTTATGAGAATTAAATTTATGCCGAAAGCAGAGAAATTGCAATTCAATTGTTTGACAATTTTTATGTTTCCATTCAATTATAATATAAGTTATGTGTAAATATCATATAGTTCTCTGCATTATACGGGCATTTTTTATATTATATATTTCTTGTATGAAATTAATATTTGAGATATCATATTTTGGCTTTAATGCATTTTTTATACAACTAATGATTTATTCAAATTTTATACAATTATTTATGAAAAGAATTACTCATTCAAGGAATAAAAATTAATTTAATCATTCATTTATTTAGTTCTAAGAATACTATATGTAATAATCGTTACAATAATTCAATTCAATGCAAGTTGTGATTAACTCATTTAACTAATGATTGGAAATAATTATAACAAACTTTCGTTGATTTTTCATAATTCAATTGAATCCTTATATTTGTAGTCATTTAGTCATTAGTGTTTCTTTTAACCACTTTATCTATAATTGAGTGGGAATTCACATAAACACCGGAATTTTTAAAAACTTTTTTTGTGAATTTCCGCTCAAATTATGTTGAAAAATGACAAATATAAATTTTTGATGTAAACTGTTTTACAGACTAGTGTCTGATATATACATATAACGGACACCCTTTCCGTATTCACAAAACAATTAGAGTATTTGAAGTGAAACCTTGAATGTAATGAAACGTATGAATGCTATGAAAAATGAAAGTATAATAGTAATATTGTATATTTATTAACTTATGCGTAAGAATTTTCAGATATATTGTTAATAAATGTAATAATATTTAGCAAAATGAGGAGCACTTTTACCACTGAAAACATAGAGAGAATATAAATTTGGGTCAAATTCTATCATTTTTTGAGGTCAAGAAAAATTTCATTTTCTGTTTGTAACTAATAATGTACTCATTATTGTCTCTAATAAGTGGATGCGATATATGGTATCCGTTGTTCACAACAATTATTGCTATTTCTTTGTTGAGATTTAAAAACATTTATCCATTTTATTCAAAAAATTCATTGATTTAATTAATGACATACCCCTTAAGAGCTTATACCGAGAATGAGGTCAACTTCTGTCAACTTCTGTTAGTTCCACTCATTTCAAGTCAAAACTTAGTAATGCTTTTTATCAGCCATTCAACGATACGCTACTATTTTTGTAAACATTTTTCAAAAATATTAATCAAACCCAAGGTATTCATCCTTTTATTGAGAATATTTTCTAAGTCTTCTTATCTATTAATAGCGAATTTATTTTCGTGTACTTCTTATGTAATACCCATTAAAGGATAAACATTTCTTTCAAGCATTTAATGTTTTGAATTCATATAATTTTAGAGTTAACACAAAAACTTTACAAACATTAAAGAACTAAAAAATATTTCAAGAATTCTTGCAAAACATGTTTCAATCAACTATTGATTTAAACAGTTTTAAAAATTATTTGTTTACAACAACCCATTATATAAAGCCAGAAAACTCTAGAGGTTGAGCCCATTCATTGATCTTAGATTTTCATGCAATCATGAAAACTGATGACAAATAAAGACTAAACACAAAATAAGCCTAACTTTTAAATAACTACTTTAAACTCATTTTTGGTAAACATATTCAAACTGCTATTAAAGTCAATTGCAAATAAATATTCACAACATTATGAAAAATATAAACATTAAAATATTTTTAACTAGTCTTAATATAGCATTTTATTATTAATAGTTTGTTATGAAATACAATAAAATAGCCTAACTATCCAACCCTTAAATAGTTTGAATAAATTTGTTTATTTTGATTTCAATATAAGAAATGATGGATTATTTTAATTCTATTTCCAAAACTTTATTCATTAATTGTTTGCATTTTAAAACAAATGACAATGATTGTCTGAATTGCCGGCAAAATATGGACTATTTATGGATAAAATAAATTATTCTTTTTAGATATTTAAATATTTCCATTTAATAGACATTTGTCACAACCACTGAATGTAAATTTAAAGCCAAATTTGAACTCAAAATTATTTTAAACATTTTTCAAACAATTATTTTCAAAATGAAAAACAGTGACCTAAGTTTGGATTTAGCAAACAAAATAATGACTTAATTCTGAAAATCATTCAAAATAAGATTTAAAACTTATTTATATAATAAATTTTGTAACAAAATGACATATTTTTATTTATGATGAAAATGTTAAATAATCCTCAAATCAATCGTTTTTTGTTTGTTTTAATTGGAAAAACCTGTGGAAACCTGAATGAAAAGCAATTGCAATAAAGTGTCAGAGGAATCGTAAAAATGGTCAAAAATATTTCGGTCGATTCATTGGATCATTTCCGGGGTCTTCACACAACGTCAAAGGAGACGTCTATGCAGTCAATGACAACACTATATATATCCGCGAATTTTCATACGACGGCGCCGGGCCTGGTATGTCAGCCCATCATATATTTTAGACAATAGTTGTTAAATGAATACATTAGCACAACCATTAATGATTATAATAAGCTGCGATAAATACATATTTAACACATTTATAGCGGCCTTTTTCTGGGCGGGCAGTCAAACGGTTCCCAATCCGGACGGCTTTATCATACCCGACGAACTCGGAAGGTCTGACATAACAATCAATTGTTAGTCACTTATAATAAATTATTGTTAAATATATATACATATTAAATAGATCTGTGAAGTTAAACGCTTACAACAAACAAAACATTTTATTAACGTTGCCTAAAGGCAAGACATTACGGGATATTAAATGGATAGCTGTTTGGTGTCAACTCTTTACCGTTAGTTCAATTCAAATGAATATTTGTTTTATTTATTAAGAGAGCAATGATTTGAAACATCAGGTAAACTTTGGTCACGTGAATATTCCGTACAACTTTGCGTTTCCAAAAGAGCAAAACTTGGGTCCCATCCCAACCCTCGCCCACAGGACTCATGCGGACGCTGTGATCGTTAAGGACGAGAAGACATTATTTATAAAGTATTAGGAAAATGACAAATTAGTTGAATATATATCTGACATAAACTTTGCGATAGAAATCTTCATTATGACGGCGCAGCACCCGATGCCTTCTTCTTGATTGGCACCGGCAATAAACCCCACGAACACGCCGTCAAAATCCCTGATGAGAACGGGAGGTGCGGTTTAGTTGTTGTCAAATATTGCAAAATATATTTATTTTAAATGCTTTTACAAATTTAAAGTTTAAGGAAAATTCATGGATATCGAGGTCAAGACATTACGCTTCGACTTCCAGATAATTACACAATCTTTGATTTCGATTGGTTTGCCTTATATTGCATAACATATCGGGAAAACTTTGGACACATTTCGATTCCCAAATATCTTAATATTCCTCCGAGTCTACAGTCTCTTCAGAAAGATGTAAGACTTAATTCGTAACACTTATTCTGATTGGTTTTTGAATGAATTGTATTCACTATAAGGTATCATCTTTCCCTAATTGTGAGACAATATTTGCGGATCAACTGCAGGTTAGTTGGGAAGTAAGACATCCGGATCTATACGTGCAGTTAGAGGGAAGAGTCGGTCAGTTTTGTTATTACTTTTCTATAAGACTGTGTATTAATGTTTTTATATAACATATGCCTTATAATCAGCACCCGATCAATACATCTCTTTCGGTGTGAGGTATTAGTGTTGCAAACAATATCTGAAATATATTTAGAGTTAATGTAAATTCAATTATCTTCTCGTCAGTGGTTCCACACAAAGGGCTCAAATGGTGGGCGCAGATGTTGTGGTCGTGTACTACGATTCCGACAGGTATTACCACTCATTTTCATTTCATTTGCTATTTTGTTATTTTCGTTGCATTTTCTACTATTGATTCAGAAGTGATGCTAAAAATAATATTATTCTGTTATTGCAGCCAAAAAGCAAAAGTAGTCGACTATACACTGACAGCCAAAGCACAGGTAAGTGATATGAATGCCATTATAAGACTCTACAAGTGCTTCCCAATCGATACGACAGTGCGCTCCGCAGTCAAACAGCGGCGCCTGTCCTGACCAAGTGGTGGGCGGGCGACAGGACTCGGAGATGATTATGTGGACCTATAACGACGGGGTCCTCAAAGTGTCGTACAAACGAAAACTTTACACCAGAGATGATGTCGCGGACGAAGAGATTATTGTGACGAACCCCATGGTTGTGGTCGGGGCTATCGGTCCACTCAATAGCAAAAAAGAGGCCGCTTTTCATAACATTGAATACACGAGAGCTTCGGACAAACCCATCAAAATCCTCTTCGGAAGGCTTCAAAACGAGAGGAATTGTGATCTTCTGACAAACCCGTCGAATGCCATTCCCAGCGCTTACTCCACGGCCGAGCCCTGGACTCCAAGTGTTATATACGCCAGAAATGAGCAGGTCTTTAGGGTAGTAATAGGGCCGGCAGGGGGTGACAGGGGATACACACCTATTACGGGTGTCCAGTCGTGGGGTATTGCCTACTGGATCGACGATATGCTTATTCCCGAAATCCATGTCCAACGAGGAGACAATTACACATTTGTAGTGGAGGCTGGAAATAACCCTGCTAATCAGGCCAAATATCACCCGTTGTATATCACAAATAACAGGGAGGGTGGGGGTGGCCAACGGTCGCAAGAGCTCAACACTCCCAACCATATGGTGTACGCGGGGGTAGATTTTTCCAACAACAGGGCTGACCCCACTCTCGGTGCGGGCCGGTACTGTGAACTTAGGATTGAAGGCATAGATATGGCAAATGTGAGCTCATCTATAGACGAATACCGGAAAACATTGAAATTGGTTTGTGAGGTATGTCTGAACATCTCATTTGTCACTTTATTTTTAACGCTTTATCGATATTTGAGTTAAACTAAATTTAAACTTAAGTTTTACAGACTTTGTAATTAATGTTTGATTTATATAAAGTGTGTAAACATTAAACAGAGCTTTCGTTTTGAAATAATCAACTCAAAGAGTGTGTGGTTTCTGCTGAACACGACTTAACATAAGTTTAATGCAAAAAATGCATTATTTTTTCTGTACTAACAAAGTGTTAATTTGCAGACATTCATCACTGATGTATGAAAATCATTAAAAAAGCTAAAATAATTGTTTGCTTTTGAGATTTGAGAGACTACTAAAAGTCACGAATGATTTGATAGCAACTCTAAGCAAATTATTTATATTTTTAAGTTTTTGTATTAAAATGAAAAGAGTACTATAATTGCTGAACAAAATATTCAATACTGTAGTACTGAATTCATTTTATTATTATTATTGAGATAAAAAATATTATAATATTTAATAGTCAGTCAATTGAATTAAGTATAAAAAAGTGTCAGAAAAATTTATTTAATAAAACTTTATTGTGTAGTTAATGCTGTATTATGTATCGGTTTGTAAGCATAAATTAACTGGAAATATAATAAAAACAAAAAATATTTTTTATCAATTAATGAACTCTAATTAAGACAAAGTTTTACAACCCGTTCATTAAACTAAAAAAGCGAATAATTTTCTTAAGAAAAAATTGTTAAAACAGAACAGAAGTATAATATTTAGAGATTAAAATCTTAAAAGTTTAGCGATTTTAGCTATGCTTTAGTTGCACTTAATTTAGAATATAATCACTAAATAATAATCTCATCTAAAGAGTGAGTAATTAATGATTAATGAGTTTTACTCTTAATTTTTATTCTTGAGATAAAAACGCTTTTATTGGAGTTTTATTTAAAATAAAAACTTAATAGGAATAATCGGGACTTATATCTAGAATTTATAATAAACTAACAACAGTTTGAAACATTAAATTCATTATTGATAAGAGACTCGCGAGTTGTGTCAAAATATTTTCATAGAAGTAAACGTATTATTAAATATATTTATGATTTATATTGACGATAGGCTGGAAATGTAGCCTCATTTACGTGGAGTCCCGACGAGACCACTCCAGACACTGTCTATTATCAGGTGAGCTGTTTTGTAGCCGTTTATACACTTATCTCACATCATAATAAACGTTAAATTTGTGCTAATTATCATCTATTGTTACATAAATGTAGAATATTTTTAGTTTGTATTTTATTATTAGTATTTCGTTTCGTTTATTATTATAATCATATACTTCTTGCAGTGTTTCACACATCGAAACCTCGGCTGGAAAATAGTGGTCAACTCCGCTCTCAAATTACAATCACTTCATTATATCTTTTTTATTATCACTTCAATGTTTGCAATAAAAAATTCAATGTATTTATAAACCCATCGCTTCTTGGAATCCAATGCAACAAAAGGTTTGAATAAAAGGGAGGAATAAATTCAAACTCTAATTATAATTCATAAGTTATTTTCAAGTTGTTTTTATTGTTATGTTTTTTAAAATTATTATAGATTTTATAATACCATTCCTAAAGAAATCCTCTTTTTATATAAACATCTCGTCATATATTGTAAAAACATATCATTAATTCATTGTTTCATTATTTCGTTGTTTTTATTGAATTGTTTTATTTTAAAACATTTCTCAGAGTTTCCGAAAATGAGATTAAAATGTTTTTGATTCACAAGTGATGAATGATTATTAAATTTATTAAAGATTTTATTAAATTTAAAAGACCGTAAATAATGAGTTTAAAGGGAAGGGGAGATAAAAGAAGTAAAAATACAGTAAATAATTACAACAATTTGTTATGACTTTAATAGTTGCAAACATTATTATACTAGAAGTCCATTAGATAGAAATGTCTCATTATAATAATATTAAACATTATATGCCATAACATAAGACATTTATTTTTCTGAAGCATTTAAGTTTACAATTAAATGAATTTGGTATAAAACGCAAACATATTTCATATTAAAAAGAAAATATGTTTCATAATGATATTAGTTTATTGTACGATATATTAGCGCACAATTAAAACTCTTGTTTTATTTCGATAATGGGTTTAAAAAATAAGTTAAAATCACTCACTTTTATCAATGTTGCACATAATTAAAGTGATATTAAGTTTATACAGTTTACGGAAATTATTCCAATGCATAAATATTTTTTGTTGGAAACTAATACATTTATATAAAAACAAAAATTATTTAAAAATTAAAATGTTTTATAA